ATTATGATTATTGTTATTATCATTATTATTATTATTATTATTATCATTATCATTATTATTATTTTCATCATCATCATCATCATCTATATTATGATTATTGTTATTATCATTATTATTATTATTATTATTGTTATTATTATTATTATTAATATTTTCATTATTATTATTATTATTATTATTATTATTATTATTATTATTATTATATTTTTTATTATTGATATTTAATTTTTATTATTACCACTATTATTATTACTATTATTATTATTATTATTATTATTATTATTATTATTATTATTATTGTTATTGTTATTATTATTATTATTATTGTTATTATTATTATTATTATTATTATTAACATTATTATATTTTTTATTATTGATGTTTTCATTTTTATTATTACTACTATTATCATTATTATTATTATTATTATTATTATTATTATTATTATTATTACTATTGTTATTAATATTGTTATTGTTATTACTATTATTTTGATTGATATAAATGTTGATATAATTATTTCTGTTACTAATACTATTCTTCTTATTATTATCATTATTATCATTATTATTATGATTTCATTATTATCTTTATTATCATTATTATGACTATTATTATTATTGTTATTATCATTATTACTGATTCTATTATTATCACTATCATTATATTTATTATGATTATTATTGTTGTTACTGTTATGATCATTATTATTATTATCATCATCATAATTATCATTATTAGCATTTATAATATTATCATCATTATTTTTTTTTTTTATTAGTATATTTGTTATTGATTTTATCATTCTTATTATTGCCATTATTATTATTATTATTATTATTATTATTATTACTATTATTATTATCATTGTTATTAGTATTGTTATTATTATTGTTATTATCATTATGACTGTTACTCTTATTATTACTATTATTGTATTTGTTATGATTATTATTATTATCACTATTATAATCATTATTATTATCACTATTATTAGTATTATTAATATTATTATTATTATTATTATCATTATTGTTATTATTATCATTATTATGATTATCATCATTATTATTATATTTTATTATTATTATTATTATTATTATTATTGTTATCATTATATTTCTTATTTATATTATTATTATTATCATGTTATATTATTATTATCATTATTATTATCATTGTTATTATCATTATTATTATTATTATTATCATTATTATTATCATTATTATTATTGTCATTATTATTATTATTTTACCATTATTATTGCATTCATTATTGTTCTTATAATTATCATTTCTATTATTATTATTATTATTATTATTATTATTATTATTATTATCACTTCTATTGTTATGATTATCATGCTCGATTATTTTTTACATGATCGTTGTTATGAATATTATCATATTTACTGTGGAACTTTCATTGTTATTCATTGATATAATGAATAACAGTTATTGTTGCAATTAAAAGAATCAGTGATAAATTTGAAACCATAATTTTGTTGTGCGACATTTTCCTCCATAGGATAATTATTATTATATGTTATATATGTTATTACTATTATGATATATGTTATTACTATGATATTACTATGATTACTATGATATATGTTATTACTATGATATGATATGATATATGTTATTACTATTTATTGTGGTGTTAACGATAGATTTTCCTGTTCATGACAAAAATTGATTTTGGCTAATCCTTTTTTTTCGTAAAATTTCAGTTTATATTTAATTTTTTCTTATGATCACATGTAGAAATTAATTATCTCGTCTCGTTTTACAAAATTAAATGACTTGGGAGATGGTGATGAGTCATTTTTCCCCCATTTACGAATGCATTTATTTAGATAGTTTGAGTCTAAGTAACTCGTTCCATTTCTTAGTGATAGATTACGGACTTGATATCAATATGTATAATAAATTTTTACACAATGAAAAAAATGTAGTAGCATGACAATAAATGCATAAGTATTTGTTAAAATGTATCGATTTTTTTCCCTTGAACTTTCGCATTGAGCCAAAATCAAAGGGGTAATAATGCAAGTAAATTTATCCCTTATTTCAGGAGCCATTGAGATATTAATGAGTATTATGTGTGGTTATCATTTAAATAAGGTTTAAATAAGGGCGTGTCAAAAAGTGTTAAAAGGAGGATGTCATTCATTGTTGCTGAGAGATGGATGTACTCGATGACTCATTCACAAAATCCAAGATGACAATGTGTTATTTATTCAATAGCGTAATAAACTGTCTGTATTTTATGCTATAATTGTGTACTATGTAAACTTTTTTTTTCGAATGTGCAGATAATAATGAGGGATTTTCCGTTTAAACTATAGTGCCGAAATAAGACTAATATTTGTAAATGAAAAAATGATACATGCAATCATTCTTATATCTATCAAAAAATGTTTTCATTTTTGTACATTTCATTATTATTTTTCCTTTTCCTTGAATCTAAAGCTTTTGTTGCCAGAATTCGCTCTCCGAGACCGAACATTTTTATCGGAATAAACGCCGCGGGTCGGGCCGAGGCCAATATCGGCCTGCGAGCGAGAAACAAACGCGCATCGCCTGGATCCTCTTCAGTCGTCTTTAGTCTCCGCCGAGTCCCCAACCGCCTCGGGAGAACATGCTCTTTGTGGATTTGCCGACCCTGTGTGCGCCATCTATAAAAGTTCACAGGTAAACAAATCAGACAAATTCTCTATCTATACGTGCACTTATTTGTGAAGGAAGGCTGAGATTCGGGGCGAAATGCGTGTGGAAAATCATGGAAAAACCTCCAGCCCCGTGCCCTAACTGCCTTGCCACCGCGGCCGAGGACTGCTAAAACTGCCATGGATCCACCAAAAGCGGAGCAGTTGTCAGCGAGGCGAGTGTCAGTGAACTAATATCCGTGCAGCCAGCGGGGCCATTAGCCTAGGTGTGTGAATCGTATACAAATTCAATATGGCATCCAATATGAGTGATCAGAGAATGGATAAATCACGCACTACTAACAATGTGATCAACCTGACCACCAGTGAAACGTTGAGGCTCGATGGAGACCGGACAAACTTGCACCTGCAGGCCGAGGGTGGTGGTGTCACCCCGGGGTTCCAGAAGAAGAAAAACTCGTCCTTTCAGATCACCAGCATCACTTCCCGGTTAAGTAATGACGGTGGCGAGGATAGTGCTGATGACACGGAGGATATTTCTGACATCATGGACAGCTCTAAGGGTCCTGACTTCGACCAGGAGACGCCCAGCTTCTCGGAGGATTACTCCAAGTCCGAGGAGGTGTTCTTCGGGCCGGCGCCAGTGATCCCCACGAGCTCCCAGTACGGCATTACGGCGTTGGTGCAGCAGACGGGTTCTGGCGGCGTGATGACGGCCAGGTTGCCTCAGGGAGTCACCGTCAACGTCACGGAGGGTGGCATTGCTTTAGCGAAGGCTGACGGCGAGTCGGATGATGTCGACCACTGGCAAAATAGGTTTAAAATTGTTAAAATAGATTCTAATGAACCTTTTAAACGTGGAAGATGGATCTGTTTGGATTTCATGGACTCTCCTGCAGTAAGTGCAGCTAATAGTCAAAAGAAAGATGATTCTAATGTGGTTGTTAATAGTGTCGGCCAGAAGGAGCCAGATGTTGGGGATAATCAGCCACAGACGGTTGTACAGTTAACTGTACCACTGCAGCAACAGACCCACACGGGACAAGCTCAGTCTCACTCTGTGCCTGCTCAGTATCAGGTACCTCATTCTTCTCAGGCATCCACGCCTATGGTACCATCACAACCAGCTCAGAGCACCGGGGTTCCCATGCAGTCTACACAACATATCTCTGGTTCAGCCGCCCCTCAGGGCCAAAGTACTTTGCAATATACACCGCAAGGTGCCCAAATGCAAGGACAGTTGCAGCCGCCCATGTCCCAGGGTTACCAGACTACAAGCCAGACTCCTCAGGGGTCAGTTCATCCTTCTCCTTCTGCTCAGACGCCCCCACAAGCCCAGACCACATTGCAACAGCCCCAGATGCAACAGTCAAGCCTCCCACCACAAACCTTACAGCAGTCAACAGCATCCCAGCCAAATGTACAGCCTACCATGCAAGCTCCCAAGACATCGCTTCAGCCTGGAGCTGTATCTCAGGCAACTATGCAGCAGGGCATGGTACCTGGGAGCACTCACGCTCAGCAACCGCAGCACCAGCCTGGGCAACCACAGTCCAGTATGCCACAACCCTCCATGAACACTCAGAGTATTCCACAGCAAGGGATTCCAGGCCAGAATGTCACCATTCCACAAAGTGTTCCTCAGACAACTGTGATGGGTCAGCCAGGTATCCCGACACAATCCCTTCAGCCAACTGTAATCAGTAGCCTCCCAACACAGGGTGTCAGTATGGGCCAGCCTGTTGTGACTCACCCTGGGGTTCCTCCACAGCCTGTGATGAGCCAGCCTCAACAGGGGGTGGCACAACAAACCCATCCACCACAGAGTGTGCCTCCACAAACATTAGGTCAGTCTCCAGTGGTCCAAAGTGGGCCATCACCACAGCAAATAAACCAGGGTCTGACTTCAAAAACGATCCCTGGAGCGCAACAGATGCAGGTGCCTAGTTCACAGCAGATGCCTACAACGCAAATGAGCAGTAATATAGGTCAAGCAGGAATTATTAACCAAGCAACAATGGGAACACCACAGCAAATAACAGCAGGCGCTCCTCAGCCAAGTGTCCAAACCTCACAGGCCCCACCAGTTAGCCATGGCTCTCACCCAGGCACAGGTGCTGCACCCACACCTGCCACTACCCCAGCTCAACCCCAGTCTCATCTCAGTATGGGTGCTTCTGGTGTGCAACCAACATCTGTGGACCAGCCACCTCAGCAACAGCAGCCTCAGCCACCTACTAATTTAGATGGTATACCTGCAGTTCAACCCACTGATGATGCCTCCAATGCTACGCCTCCAGCCCCAGGACAACCAGACGACTCGGAAAG